CAATCCCGTGAATGAGACTGGAAGAATAAAGAATTGAGAGGAACAAATGTAATGAAAACTAGGATGGTGCACGAGTTTGGTCAATACCTGTATATACATGTATATATGATGCAAACTTACGAGTTCGCATATTTGGGTAGCGTGTGTAAGAAGTCAAATGTAATCAAAACACTTAATGATATGGTCGCAAATATCAACCTGATATCTACGTGGTCTGTATTCACCAGGTATTATCGCTCAGGTCGACACCAAAAGGTCACATACTTGGCCCGTCTGTGCCTACTGTCATTCATCTGAGCTGTCTGTTAACAGTCGTGTTGCGAGTGCTTCGGCCGTGCTTCGATGCCAGCAGTGCTATCGATCTTTGAGTTCGGGCACGGATCAGCAGCAGCAATTTGAAGTGGAGGTGACGATTACCCTGGACAAAATTCATTCGCGTGGATTACCTCATCCTCTGGGTGATCCCGGTCCGCAGGTTGTGCTGAATGTAAGTTTGAACTGTTATCGTCCACCTCCTGTGGAAAACATTAGTATGATGATCACGTCTTTGGTATCCGACTTTTATTTCTTTTTGCAATAATCGTTCTCTCCACATCTATCTCTCAACATCTTATTTGGGAACATCGGAAAAAATATATAGGTATATATATATTTCATAATAAGTAGTATATAATTGACTAGACAAAATTTCCCTGGAAGCACACGACCTGTTTCGCTCTTCAGGCATGCGTATCGGTATTCTTGTCAGTTCATTCGTATACTTGTACCCGGCAGATGCTTTCAATACTGTACCTTGTTTATACCCCGTGTTAAACCGCTGAGGAATACAACACGGAACAGAAAAAAGATTAAATAAAAAAGCAGTAGCAAGCAAACGAATATTCCAATATTTGACCATCTTAAGGCAGAAAATCCAATACTGGCAAATTTTGCCTTATAAAATGTGTACGAACAGGAAGGTGAGTGCTCAAGAATTCATTCAACTGATATCGATGAGCAAGGATCATTCATCCTTATCTAATTCGATCGTTCAAGGATAGGAACGCGTGCTGATCAGAGTGGCAGGCATAATTTTGTGGATGAAGGTGAAAACTATTTAGCGATACATACTGATCCGAAAGGGATTTATCCTAATGAAACTCCATGTGTGTGGGTGGGGGAGAAGCAATTGGTGATGGATTATCTTCAGTGATTTTTTCTACATCGCATGTGGTCTAATAAAAAGCACTTGTCGACATGCTGTAAGCTGACATCAGCAGTGCGCAATGCAAAAAATATGGACTAAAAAAATATGGGATTCGTATCGTGACTGTCAGAAACTGGTTTTCGCATCCATTTTAATCTGGTTTATTCCAACCATTTGAAGCGATTCTTACATGAACGGTACTAAGGAATTATCGATAAAAAGCATGGATCGATTGGTTCGTTTTTACTATCATCCGCATGGCACACTGCTGGTTTCAGCTTACAGCATGTCGACAAGTGCTTTTTATTAGACCACATGCGATGTAGAAAAAATCACTGAAGATAATCCATCA